ATTTGTGTGATAGTGATTGAGTTGCTCCGTGACATGGAGTTCTGCCATTGGTATTTAGACCGGTACTCGCTCTCGTCGGTATTGACCAATTTGTGTGATAGTGATTGAGTTGCTCCGTGACATGGAGTTCTGCCATCGGTATTTAGACAGGTACTCGCTCTCGTCGGTATTGACCGATTTGTGTGATAGTGATTGAGTTGCTCCGTGACATGGAGTTCTGCCATCGGTATTTAGACCGGTACTCGCTCTCGTCGGTATTGACCGATTTGTGTGACAGTGATTGAGTTGCTCCCATAGATTCTGGTTGGCTGATTGTGGTGTTCCTTCTCGTCTCTCACACAGGTACCACTCGGTGTAGTTTTTGTCTTAGGTCAAAATGAAGCGCAGCCGTCAGACAATGAGCGCCCAGAGCAACGAAGAGAGAGGTAATCAATTAGTGTATTTGTACATGCGTATGTATTAATAACAGTTGATTCTTCCTGCGTGACACTCGAAGGTGTCGAGTTGAGCAGCTGTAGCTTGGTGGACTTAGAAGGTCCTATTGTGGACTTCGCCGGTGTTTGCCCGATGTCCAGTGGGACGGGAATGTCAAGTGAAGCTGGTCCGTCACACAAGGCAGGCTTATCGGGTGAAGCGAGGCTGTCAAGTGAAGCTGGGCCATCGAATGTTAAGCAGCGTTGTATCCAGGGAGCTGGTGTGGTTGTCCTGCCCAAAGGTGGTGAGGATATGGCGTTGTCGTTGGCGCAGATGGATGTGGATTGGTGGAGGCGTCTGCATACTTTCTTGCCTGCGGTTGACACTGCTGCATGTGCCGAGGTGACTTGGTGAGGAGCCGACCAGGATGCAGTGGCTGAGGTACGGGAGATGAAAGCGGCGGAGAGTAGGCTGTTAGCTCTTCAGACACGTGCTGATGCCGTTAGTGAGGAGTCAAAACAGCTGGAGAAGCAGATTGCGGAGGACGAAGGGCGCATTCAGCAGAGTCGGGCACTAAAGGCTGCATCCGAGGAGTGTCTGCGTGAGGCGTTTTCGGCACAACTGGCCATTGACGAGGCGCGTTTGCGGTCGGTGTTCGTGAACTGTGGCCAGCTGATGTTCCCGGTCCCGCAGGCAAAGTGGGAGATGGATGGTGAGTTATCACATATAAGCTGAATGGATAATGCATTTGAACTTCATGGAGTGTTTGGGTTTTGTTTTCTCCTGAACCAGGGCGGGTGAAGGTGTATAACATTGTGGGAGAGCCAAAGCTGTCACTGTCGTTCGGGCCAGTGGAGGATCTGCGGCACTTGTGGTTGGTGGGTTTCGGAAGCAGCGAGGCGGAGGAGACTGCGGACAAGGGTCCAGGTCTGAGGGCAGTGTCGATGGCAGCATTGCAGGATGCCCTGAAGAAAGTTGAGGTGTTGGGGGAGAGGATTGGGTCGCAGTCGGCCTGCAGCCGAGCGTCGTCGGTGATGGAAGTGAATGCCGATGAAGTGGGGTCGCGGGAGAGCAGTGGTGCTCCGCGCCCGGCAGCAGTTCAGACCGTCCATGGACTGTTCAATACTTCCCGTAAGATGATGAGAGAACTGCGGTTGTTGATGGTTGTCATAATTTGTTGCTGGTTTTTGTAGATCGTCGAGTCCGCGGTTGGTGGGAATACGATCCGGAGGATTATGATACTTTCGTGGTCAATGTCGGCAATCGGATGGGGATTACGAATGACGTGGTAGGGAAAATGCGGGGTCAGCATCTTCCGACTCGGGGCACGGCTGTCCAGTATGTGAGGTATTATGGTCCGGGTCATCGGAGGACGGGTGAGCCTGACAAGGGGCGCCTGGGAGTTGCACGGGTTGGGTTGTTCGGTGACTCGTTGGTGTGTCCTTGGAGGATAACGGACTTGGCGTGCTTGACGCGGGTTGGCAGGGACAGAGGTAGCGTGTCTCCGACCCTGGACTTCACGCATTTGACGAAGGATGTGCCATGTGACATCTACCAGGTTTGGTGTTGGTGATGTGTATCCGTGAACAATGTTGAACAAATTTTTGTGTTCCCTGCAGTATGGCGTGAGTGGAGTCAGTGTGGTTCTCGGGACGGCAACAAGTCTCTGGGATCCGGAGAAGGTGCAGGAGCGCATGTATGCTGACTTAAATTTGCACATGAAGAAGTTTACATTCACACATTTGTGTGTTCGTATTGGTACCAATGACATCAAGGCGTTGTGCCACGCCGTGGATGCTGCTGTTTACACTAGTTTCTTTGATCTATATGAGGCCCTGAAGACCTACTATTGTCGATTGTCTCGGGCGTTTGGGTGCCCTGTTTTCGTCTTTGGGGCGTCGTCGCCGGGTGTTTGGAGAGGGTTGTCGACAAAATTTCGATTAGACAAGAGGAGGTTTCCTCGGTTCCCGTTGCGCCAAGCGGATGGTGGAAGGGTATCCAAGGAAGAAAGGCTGGAGGCAGGAGCGCTGTGCCAGGCCTTGCTTGAGCGCTTATTGAAGCGTGAGGTAGGGCAGGTTCATGGGCATGACAATGGGACCCCAGGCTGGTGGGCGTTGCCGACTCCCTTGGGGTATCTGGCGCATTACGCCAAGATTTTGTATACAGATAACAGCAATTTCGGACACCTTTTGTCAAAGGCGTATCTTTGGTTTGTCAGGGACCATGTCCTGGGCATCATTTTTGCTGTGATGATAACCTCCGGTCGAGGAGGTGTTGGTGTTTGTATTTGTCCGGGCAAAGGACCGAGGTGGAATGCGGATGGAACTGCAACAGTTGGCAAGTC